GTGGGCTTATCAGTATTGGCTTATTGAGGTTATGTTGTGGTCGTGTATCGATATTAGATGTTTGCAGGTGGATATAATAGTGGGCAAAGGTTTTAAAAGTCTGTTATGTTTTGGGTTCTAATATATTAATATGGTAGTCTTTGGCCTTTTTTCTTTATAAGATGACAGTTTGACTCTCTCAACCCTTAACTTCTTATTGGCTCAAGAATACAATGTGTGCAAATAATTTAAAGTCTTCTCCCAACTGCAAAGCTCACTTTGAGACAAGATAAAAGATATTAGTATAATCGAAGATCTGGTAGCGGATAGTGCGGAGGCTTCAAGATGTAGGCAGATTTGGAGCGATCAAAGGTGAGTTGGTGCCCTCTAGTGGTTGAAACTATTCACACCCCCATTAGTATGTGTTTGCAGTACCTAACGATTACATTCACCCTAGGGGACTGATACATGTACGTAATACATTTCAGTTCCTTTCTCCCCCATTTCCTCCATCTCCCTTTTATTTTTCCAGCACCAGATTCATTTATTTATAAGACTGTAAAGTTAATTATGCCACTGGTTGTACAACTCAGTGATACAGTGTGTGCTTAGCATACTCAAGATCCTGGATTCAATCCCCACTACGTCCACTACCCTGTCAACAAATTTTAAGAAAGGGGCTGACCATTTGAAAAGTTGGCTTTAAAAGAGATCAAATCTGTATTTCTTGATGACAGCCATTCTTTCTGGAGTAAATGGAATCTCAGTGTTGTTTTAACTTGCTTTTCTCTGATGATGAACATTTTTTTTCATGTATTTATCAGACATTTGTACCTTTTGAGACATATTTATTTATTTCAATTTCTCATTTGTTAAATTGGGTCTTTGTTTGGGGTAATCTAATTTTTAAAAATTCTTTGTATATTCTCGGTATGAATACTCTGTCTGAGGTGTAGCTGCCAAACTTTTTTCCCATTCTGTAGGTTGTCTGCTCACTCTTGCTTACGTCTTTTGCTGCACAGAAGCTTTTTAATTTGACATAGTCCTACTTGTTGACTCCTGATGTTATTTCTTGTGCAATTGGTTCGGTTCAGAAAATCTTTACAAATACTTATGACTTCAGGAGTTTTACCTACCTTATCTTCCAGGAGGTTAAATGTTTCTGTTTTAATATTTAGATCTTTGAATCATTTTGATTTTAGCTTAATATATGGTGACAGCCATGGGTCTGATTTCAATCTTCTGCACATGGATAGCCAGTTTTCCCAGCCCTGTTTGCTAAAGAGCATATGTTTGGCCCCTTTGTCAAAGATCGGGCTGCTGGATGTGTCTGGGACCATTTCTGCATCCTCTGTTTAACTCCACTGGTCCACGTGTCTGTTTCTGGGCAAGTACCCTGCTGTTCTTATCATCAAGGGATATATTAATAACAAATGCCGGCAAGGCTGCAAGGAGAAAGGAACTTTTCTACGTGGGTGGTGGGAATGTAAGCTAGGACACCACTGCTGGAAGCAGCAGGGGGGGGGGTGCCTCAAAGTTTAAAATAGGAATTCTAGGGCTGGGGATATAGCTCAGTGGCATAAGCGCCTGCCTGGCAAGCACAAGGTCCTGAGTTTGATTCCTGGTACTGCAAAAAAAAAAAAAAGGAATTCTATTTGACCCAGGTGTTCCCAGTCTGGATACCTTCCCCAAAGAGTTAAAGATATTATATTACAGTATTCTGTGTACACCCATGTTTATAGCTGCACAATTCATAAGAGCTAAAATGTGAAAGTCGCCTGTAATACACAAACGGATGAATGGATAAAGAAAATATGGTATTTATGCACAATGGAGTACTACTCTGCCATAAAGAAGGGTAAACGAGTCATTTTTAGGAAAACAGATGCACCTTGAACGTATAATATTAAGAGGAAAAAAGGTCACACAAATTTAAAATCATAGGGTTTCTCTTATATGAAAATTCCAGAATATAAATAATTTACAGAGAAAAATAAAAGATAGGTAATAGAAAACAGGGAAAGAGAGCTTTTGCAAGTGGGAACAGACCGACAGACAGAAGGAGGAGAAGGGGAGGAGAAGAGGTGAAAAGGGTTAGGATGAGGTAAGTGCGGGCACCAGCTCCCCACGATGAACGCAGTCACTGCAGGGCGGACGTGTCCTAAGCAAAATTAAACAGACAAGAGGAGAGTCCGAGTGCAGCCCAAGACTCACTCTTCCACGGCCTGGCCTCGGCAGGACACCCACCTCCCTGGCTACAGGTTTTGTGTGTCCATCCGGAGGGTCGGAGGGAGGCACTAGTGAATAGAAAGCTATCGAAGTGTTTCGTTGGAGACCACTGTGAGTGAAGCCGAGGCGGAGGGCCGCTGTGTCCTGCACGGGGCCCGTCGAGGCTCTGCCCTGTCGCACAGGCTTTGTCCTCCACCGGCGTGGGAGTGCTGCGAGCCCTGGACTTTGGTTCATCTACGCTTGTGTCGTTCGCATTTGGCACGGGGTCTGGCGAGCAGAAAGGACTCCGTAAATGTGTACTGCAAAGAGGGAGTGCGGAAGGAGAAGGGTAGGCTGGCCGTGATTAATTTGCTCTGGAGCTGGCAGGAAAGAGAAAGTCTTGTGACGTGGAGCTTAGCACCACAACGCTTTGCATCAGAACTCCGTGAGGTGTCCCGCTGGGCCCCTGAGGCTGAATATCTGACCCTAGACTCAGGTCCCCCCTGAGTTCTTTAACTTCCAGCGCCAGCGAGCGCTTTTGCGCTCTGAGAGTCAGGCTGGAATTCATGTGCAGCGTTTCTCTGACGAGGGAGTGTGGTAGGAGTCAGTTCTCCTGCAAAGGCCTTTTGTGCTTCCTGGCCGGGAACCCGTCGGGCACAGAGCGCGGGAGCATAGGTCACCAGCGGTCACTGCTGCCGGGCCTGGCTCCGCCCACGCGGTCTGACCTTGACGAGCGCCCCCTCCTGTGGTTTCCTTTCCTGATCGAGCTCTGTGGTCACAGCCGCCGGCCCTGCCGCAACAAATCACTCCTCGCCGATTTCCTCCGCGGAGGTCCTACCTTTCTCGTCCCCTCCTACCTGGGCAAAACCGTGAGAAGAAAGACACACATGAAGAAAATAAAGTAGCAAAGAAGTGAAAGAAAAAAGGAAAGACATTAAAAGAGAAGTGGAAAAAGCACAGAGGAAAAAAGGAAGAGAAAGGAAAAGACAAATGAGATTTCATTAATTTGTGCTTCACACATTTACCAAGCACCTGATTTCACTGGATACGACGGTTAATCCTATGTGTTTAATTAGCGAGGCCATGGCACCCAGGCCTTTGGTGAAACATCAGTCTACATGTGAGTGAGATTTTGATTTTCGGTTTTTGTTCGTTAAGAAGATGAATGTTTAAGTTATTACTCTTTGAGTAGAGCAGCTGACCCTCCATACTGTCCAGGCTTCATCCAGTTGATTGAAAACCCCAACAAAAAAAGGTCTGGGATTCCCTGAGGAGAGGGAATCCTGCCTGAAAACTGCCTTGGGACTTAAGATGCCACGCAACTCTTTCTTGGAATCTTCATTCTACCACCTGCCCTGCAGATTTGGGGCTTCTGAGCCTGTATGATTGTGTGAGCCCATTCCTTAGAATAATCTTCTCCCCTCCCATCTCTCTCTCCTCTCCCTGTCCTGTCTTCTCCTCCCATATCTATCAATCTATCATTCATTCAACCATCCATCCAACTATCCACAAACATATACATACATATATGTGTGTATATCTCCTACTGGTTCTACTTCTGTGGGCAACGCCGATGCACAGCTAGTATTGTGTTAGGTGCTAGGCAGGGTGGTAAACAAATTTGCTCTTGAGGAACCTGTGGTCCAGTAGAGGTCGTCTTGGCAGCCTGTACCTTACATTAAGGAGTTGGAGGCTTGGTGATGGAGGAGGCTCAGAGGAGGGATGATGTGACGATGGTGTGGTCAGAAAAGACTTTCAGGAGGCGGAGGTGGGCAGAGGCCCAAGCGTTTGAGATGTTACAGGCTGCGGGAGTTCTGTAAAGAAAGGCAAAGAGGTGGGAAATAGCTGATGGGCCTGAGAAAGTGCCTCTCACGCCGTCAGCATCTGCTTGTGTCCATTTTGCAGCACTTCCTCAGAGCAGCCTTTCCGGCCTCTCCATGACCCCATGGTTTCACAGCATCCCACACCTCTGTTGTAGCACAGAAGCACATAGTTATTTAATATTTGCTGGGGTCACTACTTGGTGGTCTGTAATTTGGCTATAGAGTGGATTGGAAGCGCTCACTACTGCGGCAGGCAAAAGAGCTATGAGAGAGGTTAAAGGGTGGTCTTGGTGGCGGCTTTGACGTTGAGGAGGGAAGAGAGTAGGGAGGTGGCAGGGACATGGGGCTGTGCCCACCAGGGACACACCTGGTCCAGGAGCGAATGGTTAAACTGTGAAAGGATCTGCCAGGCAGAAGCACACGTGCTTTACATAACGCATAGCAGAGCACAGGGGAAAGACAGCACGGTTGAAAACAGCACAGCACAGCCGGAAACCAACAAGAAGTTTAGATTAGTGAAGCGTGTTGTGTGTAGCCATTGTCCTTCCTTTTACCCTAATAAACTGCTTAGCCTTGGTTCGGTTTCTTGCCGAAGCTGTTTTTCTTTTCTTCTCTCTCTTGCTCTTTCTGTATCCTAAATAAAGGCTGAAGAATCGGTTCAGGGCTGCTCCCTTCAGGCGCCCTCATGCCGGGCGCTCTTGGGACAGCCCCTCTGAGCCTCGTGGTGTTTGGAGCAAATTTTATCTCTGAGTAATCTTTTCATCCTTTGTGCCGCCAGAGTCACACACAGCCACAACAGACCATCTCCTTCTTATCTGTTATTGTTTCCCCTGAACGTGAAGTGGTTTCTGGCATCAAGCAGGTATGGAATGTTTGTCGAAGGAATGAAGAGGAATGCCTGACACATATGGTTACTTCATAATGTTTGTCCAGTGACGACATAAGCTTGTCACATTTCCAGTTATCTCTCAATAGGACAGCTGCTGGAGCATTGTTCTCAGTGTGGAGACATCCCGCTGCCCTCCCTATCTTCCTGAGGATCATCGTGTGGGTATCAGAGCTGCTGATCCTCACTGTAAGCACACAGAGAAGTTTCATTCTGTTCCTTATAGCTCATGAGGTTCCTTGCTTCTCTTTCTTCATTCTTTTCCCTTTTTTTTTTTTTTTCTTCTTTTCTCTTTCCTTTTTTCTCTTTGGAGCACTGGGATTGAACCCAGGGGTGCTACATCACTAAGCTACATCCTCAGCCCTTAAATTAAAAAAAATTACTTCAACAAGGTCATGCTAAGTTGCCCAGGCTGAGCTTGAACTTGTGATCCTACTGCTTCAGCTTCACAGAATGCTGAGATTACAGACAAGGGCCACTGCCCCTGACTGCTTAAACAGAAAGCCTGCTTCTTTTTGGATCTGTGGGCTGAATACACCCTTCCTCAGACGAGGTTCTGTAGTGAATACTGATGCTTGTTTGCTCTACAGTATGTATCAAAAATAGTGTTGGGTGCTTTACATGCATTATCTTATTTAATATTTATTCATAATCCTTAAAAGCGATAGGATCTCACTAAGTTACTAAGTTACCCAGGTTGAGTTTCAACTTATGATTACCTCAACTTCCTAGAATGCTGGGATTACAGGTATGCACCTCCACACCCAGTCCTACCTCTATTTCTGTCTCTAATTCTTCACTAAGTATCTAGCGAAAGAGTTTCCATTGTCTCCCTTCATTCTCTGAACCCACTTACCTTCGGCACTTAGCAGCCCCCCCGAAATCCAGCTGCTATTTCCATATACCAGTAACCTAGTCCCACACATCTCTGCAACCAAATCCAATGGACATTTGACATCTTCCAGCATTTGGCGCAGCTGACCCTCCTCCAAGCTTCCTACTCTTTGGTATCCATGGCGTCTCTTTCTTAAGCTCTCTGGCCTCTTCTTAGTCTCTTCCGGATCTTTTTTGCCTCTCCTTGGCCTTTAGATATAGCAGTCCCTCCTCTGTGTTCTAAGATCTTTTATCTCTTCCATTCAGCTTGAAAGATTTTGTTTACAACTAGATTTTCAGATGTCACCCGCATGCTACCTGTCTCTCTCTCTCTCTCCCTCCCTCTTTCTCTCTCTCTCTCTCTCTCTCTCAGCTTTTCTCTTGGCCTCTAGCTGTGTATCTCCACTTGGTTGTGCCTGAGGGAGATCACTCACACGGAGCACACTGGGACCTGGTCCAGCATCTCCTGCCTCGTGTGTGCCCCTGCTCCATATTTCCACTGACTGTTTCACGTACCAGTGAGTTGTGACACTGTGTCACCTGCCCAAAGATAATACAGGCATTACTGAGTGGTTTGCCTTCCCCACTTTGCAGTGTTGTTGATTCTTTTACTTAAGTATATTGTATTCCCTCCTGCTCTCCAACCGCCCTCTCCCTCCCTCATCCCTGCGCCTTGGTTCAGATGTGGTAAGGTGGTCAGCTTATTTCCAGCCTCTGCCTCCACTCTCCCTTCTATGCCAACCTCCCACGAGGGTCCAAACAGTTCTGTCTGTCCCACCAGTCAGATAACATTGCTTTCTTACTAAATTTGTCAGTGGTTTCCCATTGGAAGGCTAATGTTCTTTCCGTGTGCATAAGGTGATTCACTGAGTTTCCCACTGAGCTGTCCTCAGTCCAACAATCTATACTCCGGCATCAAACACTCTTGCTGAGGACGCTCTTGCTGTGTTTATCCTCTTAGTGATGCTTTCTCTTCTGGAGGAACTCAGCTCACACAGGCCTTCCCAGAGGCGCAGAAAGATGCCTGGCACGCCTCGCCCTCTCTCCTTGGTCCTAACTCCATACATGTCAGCATGGTATTTACCCTGTAGCATCACTGCTTATTTTCCACTCTGACAGTGAGCGACTTTCATGTTTCTGTCCCACATTTCTAATGCAGTGCCTGGCACCTAGCTCATGCTCTGTGAGTATTTTCTGGGATTATTTTGATGCCCCAAACTTTTTGGTAGCTATTCCCTTTTCCTGTGGGGCTTTATTTATTATTGAAGTAACAATAAATAAGTAATATTGATTATTCAGGGACCTGTTGGGTCTCCTGAGGGGCTGTTCCACACCCGTGATCTGTTACTCTTCCCTCATTCTTCTTTCCTTATTACTGGGCATTTTTCCCCATTCTCTGAGTTGGCAGAAAATTCTCCTTGCTCAATTCCCACCTTCAATTTTTCTTACTTCTGTACACGCTTAACATCTGGCTTGTTCTGCACAAATGGGCTCTGCACCCCAGGGCCAAGTCCCTGCTCTTGTGTGGCAGGAGAGGAACCTGGCCCTGGGTCCCTGTGAGTTTTCTGGCCTGGCTGTACCCCTCTGCTCACTGCGGCCTAATTACCAGGCCTTTCACCTGCCAGTGCCAACTCCTGGACTATTTTCATTTCTTCTTTTAGTTTCAGATTTCAGGTTTCTTCTTCTGACACTGAATGTCCAGAAAGAAAAGAGGGAGCGACATGTCTTCTCTAAGAACTAAATTTTTATAAAATCACTGTGTCCTTCCTGTCAGTGGCAGCTCCAGGAAGACAGGTAGGCTGCCTCTGCTTTCCCCTCACACCCTGGCCTTCTCTGCAGAGATCGGGCTCCCGCCAGCCTCCTGCGTTTGTCTCTGTCAGTTAATGAAAAATGTTCTCATCCTCAAATTGGGACACTAAAAACGAAACAAAACAAACAAAAACAAAAGCTCCTCTTGTGAATTTGTTTGATTAGTAAACATTAAAAATTTTTATATTATGTTTAAGGAGTCTGTAGGACAATTTCATTGAAAAAGAAAAGAATAACATTAAATAGGAATTTTTCTAGAAAACATGGGTTAGAGAATTAGATTAGATTAGAAAAGGAGGAAGAGCAGTATTTTAGCCAGAGTTTTTCTGTGAAAGAATTTTCAAAGTGTAATCCAGTCAACACTGCTTTTGTATTAGTCAAGTGTGTGGATATGTATGACCTAGTGTTTAAAAATAGTCTTCAAATAAATTAGGGAAGGAGACTGAGAGCATTGTACCACAGTGCTATCTGCACACCCGTGCTTATAGCAGCAGAGTTTGTCACAGCCAAACCTGGGAAACAGCCCAGATGCCCATCAGCTGATGAATGGATAAGAAGATGTGGCTTGTTTTATACAATGGAGTACTGCTCAGCCATAAAGGAGGATAAACTTGAGACATTTCTAGGTAAATGGATGCACCTTGAGACCACACTCATAAGTTAAATAAACTGGACACAAAGGTGTAAATATTGCATTATTTCTCTGATGTGAGAAAAAGAAAGTATAAAAAAGAACCAAAATGTGTAATAGATACTGTGAGATAAGAAGAAAATGTTCAAATGGGAAGGGAAACTAGGGAGGGGGAGGGGGAAAGAAAGGAAGGGAAAAGAAAAAATGCAAAAAGAAGGAGAAATGTCAACAAAGTCTTTGTAAATAAGGTAGGGAAGAGGGGTTGAAGGGAGAGGAGGGAAATGGGAAAAAAGGAAGACTCAAGATGTACCATGTACAGGTACAAATTCCTTGAGGAATGTGCTCATTATGTTTATCTAAATTGTACCAATAGACCTGGTTAGTAAAAAAGAAAAGGAGAAATGACAAGGCACACAGAAGAGAGAATTGCCTACAGAGAACTGGGCAAAGTAACTGTCACTAGCCATAGATGTCTAAAAAGTACAGCCAGAAGTCACACATGGGCTGAATTGTGTCCTCCAAATCTAAGACATGTGAAGTCCTTTCCCCCAGTCGGATGCTTCCTCAGAAACAGGGTTGGAAGTAGGGTTTTCATCAAGATGAGGTAATATTGGAGTCCGGTAGGTCCTTAATCCATATAATTGATGCCCTCACCCACAGGCAAGGTGAAGACAGGAGGACACCGTGTGATGACAGAGATGGGACTGGAGCAATGCAGCTGCATGTGGAACCCCATGGCCTGCCAGGAAGACCCACGCATAAAGAAAGACAGGGAGCAAATTGGAGCCAAGCCCCGACACACCACAACTGCAGACTTCCCTCCTCCAGAACTGTACGACAGTGCTCTTTCTGTTCTGTATTGCTGATGGCAACCTGGACGGCAGTCCTGAAAATGAACACAGGCAAGAAATGATGTTTAGGACAACAAGCTTTTGCTGTAAAGGTGAAAGATGGGGATCATTTTGGCCTCGCGGACAGCCCCCCCCCCCCCGTTAACATTTCAGTAGTTCAGCTTCCCCTATAAAAGAAACATTAATTAGGGTGTGAGAGCTCAGGGCTGAGATGAGACAAGGTACCTCTTATGTGCCCAGGAATGAAGCAGATATTGATTGATTTTTGGTTGATGAAGGCTGAAATTTACTAAAATCTGACTTGCAGAAATAATGTTTGCCTAAGGATAAAGCTCACTGAATTTACCCCATTTCATGGTCTACCAAATTTTTTCACATTGAATAGGATAGCTTTAATAACAATTGGAGTTTTCTGGTGAGATTTAGCTAGCTGCCCTTTAGTTTTGTTAACCAGTATTTATGTAAGATTCAGCTTCTTAAAAGTTTAAGATAATATAGTTCTCTTATGAATGAATATATTTAGGATTCAATAAAGTATATTTATCACCAGGAACCCCAAGTCAGGGTTTATATTGAAATTTACACTTAATAAATGTACCAGTTTATAAAGTTTGCAACAAATTGTGCTGCTTTTGACAATTTCAGCAACCTTCGAGTTTATTTTAGTTTTAGCTATAATTTATAATTATGGTTATATAATTTAGTTATAATAATAACTATATATAATTTAATCATAATTTAAAAGTAGTTGTTTCATATCAGCTAGTTGGCAACCTGTTCAATGAATGTCAGTTTCTTGTGTGTTTCACATTTTGGGTTCTGGGAATCATCTTTTGAATAAAACATAAGTGAAATATTCACTTGGTGGACTATTAACAAATCTGTGATCAGGAGGAACTCCAAAGGCAATCGAAGTTGAACATACATTGTTGGAAGAGAGAATTCCAATCTATCATTCATAACATCATTATCACCTACCCCCATCTAGCCTGCCTCCCACTTTATATTCTAGCTCATACTATCTTGTTCTTAACTCTGAAGACCAGATAGTTATTCCTCCTGAAACTGTCAATTGTCTTGCGTCAGAATGAATTTCCTATAGGTTAGGGCCTGAAGATAGTGTTTCTGGCTTAGTCGCTTCTGTGTTGAAGATAGGATCTTGGGTAACATTTAATGAGAATAAGCAATGAGATCTAAGCAAAATTTTAGATCTGTGATACCATTGTTGTAGTCTGCTCTGTTCTGTGACTTTCTAAAGCAGATGCTGGAGAGGATTGTGTGTTATCCAAGTGACTATCAGTAGTACCCCTCAGCAAGAGAAAGATCTGGGTAAGGTAAGTTGGCCAAGCATCAGACAGGTTAATCATGCTAGTTAAATTGGTTCAAGGTGGGGAGAAAATACTCCCTCAGAAATGTTGAAATATTTTATAAGCAAGTGTGTCTAGTTCCCAGGCAGCCCTAACTTGCTTGACTTGAATTTCAGCCAATCGCTAGGTTGTGATGTTGCCAAAGAAAACGATCATTGAAAGCCGCACAGGTAAGGTGTGTCACAAATCAGTCACTGCCTGCTTCTCCTAACAGGAACAAATTGGCGATTCTGCAAGAGAGGCAGATGCTTTTATCTCAGAGGAGGAAACCTGGCACAGCCCAGCTCCTTCCACGTGAAGTGGTGCCAAAGGACAATGCTCGGAGGAGACCTCTGGGTGTTCCCCACAGTGTGGGGTGACCAAGCTGCACGCAGGAGTCTGTCACACCACCCAGGGCACTCACCCTATCCATGAGGCCCAACCTCCTCAGAGTGGACTGGGATGATCTCATCACGCTGCATGCATTAATCTTCTTTCCCTTTTAAGCAAATTATCACAAATTTAGTGGGTTCAAGTGACACAGATTTACTCAAAAGTCCAAAATACATTTCACTGTGAGCTGATGTCAAGGTGTCTGCCGGACTGATTCTTTCTGACGGCTCCAGGAGAGAATCAGTTTCTTTGCCTTTTGTAGTTTCTGGCAGCCACTTGTGTCCTTGACTTGTGGTCCCTTCCTTCTTCTCCAAGGTCATCCCTGCAGTCTCTGCATTTGTCACTGCAGGACATTCTCTGGTCTGCAGTCAGACCTCCTTCTCTTCCTCTTGGGGTGGACTTGTGACTGGATGAGCCAGGGCGGTCACCCTATTGCAAAATTCTTAACTACAGCTGGGAAGTTATTTTACCATATAAAATAATAATTGCACATTCCAGGGGTTAAAGCATGCATATCTTTGGGGGCCAGTGTGCATTGCTTACCACCACTAACAAAGGCTCAGTGCTATTAGTTACTGTCCTGTGAACATTGAAAGCCAGAGGAGGTCTAGGGGAAGATACTGGTTTATCTGGGGCTTCTAAGGACCACCCAACTGCTTTGGGTGGAAATACAGCTTTCAATGCTATTGCTACTACTCCTGGAACACACACATACACATACACACACTTGTGCACATACACACACACATTTGTACACTTTTATTTTTGATCCCCAGCAAATGTCTCATTTGTTATATTTCATGTAGGGTTACTTCTTCTAGTTTATTTCCAGTTTAGAGCAGGATTTTTCAGCAGAGCTGTTCAGATTGAAGGGCCTTTATTGACCTCAATGCTGTGTCAATTACTGACACCAAGATATGAATCCTAGTCCTGCTCTTGCTACCAGCCAGTTGGCTAGCCTTGCCTAAACCTCTTAATCTCTCCATGGTCGGCTTTGTAGCACTAACATTTCATAGTTCTCCTAAAAATGGGACATATAGAGTATTGGTTGCAGTAGCTGTTCCTTGGAAGGAAAGGGCTATAAGTTGGGGAAACATTGTAGTAGGTGTAGACCTCCATCCACCTTGGGGAGTCACACTGTGGTAGGCATAGCAAGGGCTCTGGGAAGTCCCGCATGAATGCAGTTGGGTGACTCCTTGATGTAGGTTTTGTGAAGTGTTATAAAATCATGGACCACTCCTACTTAAAATATTTTTTAAAAACACTGATGAGCAAACCAGAAAAACTCAGTATAGGGATCTTTCAGAAAACAAAGACTCCAGCCCTGTGATCTTTAAAATGACTTTTGAAATTGAGAAGCTTTGTCTCTAAGCTGGCCCCCAAGAGTAGAAAGTGCCCTGTGTTGTCTTACCTGAGCCCTTGGAGGGTTTGCCCATCTTCATCAGCAATGTGAACAGGGGCACCAGGTCGAAGAGCCAGAATCTCTGAGCTAGCCCTGACGCAGTGAGATACCCTCACATTGTGAGTGACCTCCTCCCTGCCATCTATCTGCCTTTAAAGAACTCCAGTTAATCCTTTATGTATTTTTTCAGTGTCTTCCAGGAGTGTAGACTCAGGGCTAGAGATGACAGAGGAGATCTTGAGAAAAGTAATAGTATGGTTGAATAAATGCCATTTCCTCAGAAGCCAGGAGAAGGGATAGAACTTCCAGGCACTGAGCTCCTGCTAGCAGAGGGCTACGCTTCCTCCAACCGAGTTGAACTTCCTGAATATCGTGTAAGGTAAATATTATTATTCCCCTAGAGTAATGAGAAGGCCATGACTGAGAGAAGTTAGGGGACTGATCCGAGCCCGTGCCTAACTTGTGGCAGATAAGGATTCAGCCTGCCCAGAGGAGCTGCCCAAAGGCCTGATACGTGCAGACAGAGAAGACCCTTCTCTATCTAGGTGAAGAAGGGGTGTGCACCAGCCTGGAGAACCTGGGGGACTGTGGGAAGAGTTATCACTAGCATTTCACAAGGGATCCAAGGTTTGGGTTTGTAACAGTGGTCAGGTCATTTATGCTGGTTTCCTCAAGTGAGTGAGCCAGAGATCATCCTCTTCCAGCTGTCAAGATATCCACTTCCCTTGTGGGTAGGACTTGAACAGGTCTGGGAAAGAGGTTATAATGTAAAGCACTTATACTGTATGCCAGATACTGTTCTAGGGCCTTGAGACACTGCAGGGAAGAAGACAGACCAAAGCCATTGGCTTCATGCAGCTTACATGCTGGTGTGGAGAGAGGAAGGGAGGGAGAGAGAGGGAGAAGGAGGCGGGGCGAAGAGGAAGAGAGAAGGGGGGCGGCAAGGAGAGAGAGGGGGGAGAGAAGAATATTAGAAACTGATGAGTGCTAAGGGGCAAACCAGACCTAAATAAATGGATCTAGGAGTGGGGCTGATCCTAGATATGATGGTGGTGGTGGGACTCCTGCAAAGAAGATATTTGAGCAGACACCTGCAGATGATGGGAGAGTGAGTCAGGCATTCTAGTGATAGAGCATTTTGTGCAGAGCTGCAGTCTGGTCAGGTGCTGGGCAGGGGGGCAACCACCATGTTCCAGAAAGAACACTTGGGCTAACAGCATGACGGGAAGAAAGTCAGGGAGGAAGAGGGTGAAAAAATCATGCTGGTGAAGACCTCTTTTCCGTATGGAAAATCTTAGAAAAGGTGCAGTTGTGTATTCATTCTTTGTGCAAAATAAAAATATTAGAAATTTTTAAATGAAATATTTTGTGGTTTGGCCCAAAATTCCAGAGGACAGGAGCCTTTGCTTTTGATTATACTCTGTGTTGAGGGAACAAATATCATCCCAGGAATTTTTTCCCTAATCTTTCTTCTGTTTTATTGAGGCTATCTGGAGATCTGTTCATGACTTATGCATGCACAGAGAAGGAATATTTAACATTTGCAAGGTTTTTATGTTGCCTTGTATAACTTTTGTAAACATGAACAAGGAAACAAGACTCTTTACCACTGGATGAGTTGAGTTATAAGTACCTTGAGTTTCTTGCTCATTAGAACGACTTCTCTCAGTGGATCGTTCTGACTCTATAGCTGACCACCTACATGCTCCTGAGATAACCACTATACCAATCTGAGTGTTGCTTCCTTGATCTGCACTGTAGGTGAGTATAGAGTGGATAATCTACAATGTCCCTTGCATTCCAAAAAGCTCATGTTTCACTCTCTCTAGCAAAGAACATTCCTATTCTGTGTATACATCCCTCAGAGGTCACACCAGCACTTTTCCATTCTTCTTGCCTGTGGGCACAACATGAGTAATTTATAAATGGGCTTGCAAAATGGGAACAGTGTATCCTTTGGACCAGTCTCCTATGTCCCACATGACTAGTGCTCCGGTGCCAGAGAGCTTTCCAAGGACAGATTCTGTGTTTTTCTACCTCAGTGCCTTTCCCTTGTACCACCTCCCATGAAGTCTATATAATAATCAACTTCATGATTCTACATAACATATTCACACAATTTTAGATCCTGTATTTTAATACAGGACCGTCATTGGATAACCGAGGAAACTGAGGCTCAGAGAAGTCACTGGCTTTCCCAAAGCCACAGAGTATGCCCAGTGGGCTGGAGTGGAAGAGGGAATCCTGTTCTCTGAATGCCAGCTGAGGTTCTATCTCCCACCTCTTGCTGCTTTTATTTTTCCAAAAGCTGACCACGCCCCATCAAATAGTGATATGCCTGAAAGTACTTTTAGGGGATGACAGAGAACTTTGAAAATAAGAAAGGTTTTGTTTTAATTTTTAAACACACTCCTAGACCCAATGGACAACCAAACTCAATTTTCCTGGAAATGCCGGATCAAAACTGTAGAAAGGTACTGTTCCAAACCCTGAAAAAATAGAAAAATAGAAGATGCAGAAGAATCT